GACCCCAGGTTGAAAAGTCTGGTTGGTCACAATTATGGTTGGCATGTAATATACAAGGTGGATTAACCCAGTGCATTGCTCTATATGGCTATCTATGAAGATGTGAATGGAAGTTAGTATAGAATGGACCTGGGAGCCCTGAGATCATGTCATATGACTGCTTTAAAAGTTACCCCACCTTTTCCAAAGCTGTTACTTCTCACAGTAACCCTATATGACTCAGTGGTCAAGGGGTTGGACCAGGAGTGGGGAAGACCCAGGTTCAAGTCCACCCTCAGCCATAAAAACCCACTGGGTGATTTGGGGCCAGTCACTCTCTTTCTCAGCCCAACCTCCCTCAGAGGGTTTTTTGTTGAGGGGAAAAAATAGGAGGAGGTTGCTGTAAGGACACTGCCTTGAACTCCTGAATGAAAGGTGGGATATAATCCAATGAATAAATACCTGAAGGAACTCCTGGGAAAAATGGAAGGTGATTGAAAAAGAGCCTGGTCAAAAAACAAGATGAGTAGATGCTACCACTGATGAGCTTCAAAGCAGCAGTCCTGACAGAGAATCCTGGTGAAGAGAGATCATTAGGCCATGAAGCTGCTGCCACAACAGTCTGCTTGCACTCAGAAGCCAGCTTCCAAGGCTTTTCTTTGGTCATCTCAGATAAGTAAGTGGCAACAGCTTTTTCTACTGTGGCATGTGGTTTGTGGATGGCTGTCCCCAGGTTGGTTTGCTTGAAGCCCTCAGTCATTTTTCCAGTTTCAGGCAATGATCTTCTAATTTTCCTAACTTCTATCATGTGATGGGGAATTTAATGCTTGCTTTTATTCAGCTGTTGTTCATGTTTATTGAATGTTATTGGTATGTGAATGAAGTATAAAAATCTAATAAAATAGTATAGAAATCTAATAAAATAAATGATAAGCCTGTGTATGAATCAGGAATGAGAAGACTGTTTACTCTTCTCCAGTGTAGACCCAGAGACTCCAAATTCTAAGTCTTCTCTGGAGAAGTCCCAACCTTCTGGAACATAGACAGATGACATGCTATACAGTCAGGACATTTGGCTGCAGTCATGAGGCTACCTACTTGGGAATATTTTCTTTGGGAGCTTTTGGCCTTTCAAGAGTCAACATGGTTACCTCCTTGTATTAATAACATTGTTGTAAACTGAATAATCTCACTGCCGGCAAAGCATGGTGTGACCCAGTTGCTAAGCCATCCAAAAAGAAAACCACATATTTTTTTAATGTACTTTTTTCAATCTGTTGGGTTAGCTCACATAGTGATATATGGCATTTGGAAGAAAGCTGTATTTAATCTCCTTGTCTCAGAAGTAAGTACTTCTAAGTTCCAGTGCTACTAAGAACAATACTTAATTGTTGCAATGTGTACTCACTTTTCTGAATTTTAATTATCAGTCATTTCTAGATCATCTAGATGAATGTAGTTTTGCTGTTGATGGAACACCACCAATCCTTCCATTCACACCCATCCATTTCTTTTCTCTGCACAGTCCTTCTTCCACTCCACCACAGGGTGATACCTATCGCTCATAGGGAGCAATGAGTGGATTGCTGAACCAAGTTATACTTCAGCTCAGCAGGGAGCTAAATTCGTTCTATTAGTGTCCAGTTCAGTGGACTATAGTTTTGGCTGCTCTCTGTACTTTAGCAATTTTTTATTGATCCATATTCTGAGAGATACTCAATTCCCTACATAGCCCAAGAAACTTCTCTAGGTTTTAGTATGCAATTCCACTGCTTCCAAGGATGCAGATTTTGAGTTTCAATATGCTCCTAGTTTATATGGCAAGGCTCCATTTGCATTATCAACATCAAGTTCTTTTAGTAGCATTGGCTTGGGTAACTTGGCTTTGGAGCATATGCAAAGTTTTTGGTGTCTCTGGTGAATGATTTCTATAGCATGATTACTTTTTACTGTACTGTAATTCTTATACCTATTACTTGTACTGTAATAGTTTATTGTTGGATCTGCATAAATATTGTATTTGGAGGTACTCCACTGATTTCTTCAATTTCCATCTAGAGCTAAGATTTAGTGGTAAATATTCTGGTTATTTTGTTACATGTGCTATTTAATGGCTTCAGTTTAACAGGACTTCTTGACTCTGCTGAGAGCGGACATATTTCCTTCCCACGTTGCAGCTCTGTTTCTATTCAAATAGCTGTTTAACCTTGCTCTTTAAGCACTGTGTGGCAATATTTTGTCACAGAAAGTAATATAGAAATCATTATTTTCTTCTGCAGTGCAGCATTATAAGATGAAAAGGCCTGAAAGCAGAGTTTGCCCCCCTGTGCTTTTAATACAGTTTTAAGCAACCAGGTAAATAACATTTCATACAGCCACAATAATCCCAACTATTTGCAAGAAAGGTGTACCTTTATTTAATTAAGACTGCAGTTCTGCACATAGTTAAATGGGGAGAAGTCCTAGTGAACTCAGTAAGCCTTAATTCTGAACAGAGATGCATAGGGCTACTCTGTAATTTGATTAGGAGGAGGAAGAAAGAGATCACTTGAAAATAGCCTCTATACTCATAAAGCAGTACAGTGGAAATTCATTAGAAGAAGTAAATTTGTGTGTGTATGTGTTACAATGTAAATTTCTTAGTGTTATTAGGAGAGAGAAAGAGTTAATTAGATCAGCAAATAAAGAAATATTAAAGTGCTTTATACTGAATGGGAAAGAGAATGAACCAGAACTTTTCTACAGTATTTAATAAACACACGACAATCCTAGCTGATTACCTGTTAAGTATTATCTAATGTGATGCAGTGCACACATTTTCTTAAACTTTCCTTCCTTCCTTCCTTCCTTCCTTCCTTCCTTCCTTCCTTCCTTCCTTCCTTCCTTCCTTCCTTCCTTC